TAAAATGAAGATTACATCCAAGATTCAGGGAGGTCAAAGCCCTTGGAAGTTTGGTGCAAATAAATAGGGAAATATTACTATCGGGCATAGAATTGGAGATTTTAGAGTGACAGACTAAAATCCCCAATTCGGTCCTATCGTTTGGGTGCTGATGTGTAGATGTTAGCCCTCAGGTGAGGGGAACGTAGGAGCTCCGAAGTGAGAGCCGGTATCTTCCCAGCCTAGCCGCAGAATCAGTAACCAAGCATAGGATTAGTAAATGTTTTTTATGTCTGGACCAAAGGGTAAAGAATAGGTATGCTCCTATTTGGCACAATATCAATTGAACTAATTCATTTTATTCATTCATTATAATTTCTCGGCAAGGAGAAGGATATTTTCTTATATATTGAACATCACAATTAAACGTTATTTTCTATAATTAGTTATTATCCAAATTATCTACGTACTTCAATTGTCTATTAGTGACAGATAAGCAACTTGAACGTCGTTGTAGTTGAAGTATTACTTTTTATTAAATCTTAGTCCGTAGTATTTTATTTCTCCCTGTGGGATCGATATCTAGGACTCCATTAGAGCCCTATATTACTTGAGCGATACGTATACTTGCCTTGACAAATTTGACTTTAAGACTTTAACATTATTGAATATTACATCTTTATTAAATCAAACATATATATATAAAGTCGCAGTCAAGTTTTTGGCATCGTTGCTGGAATTTAAATCTTCTAGTAGCGTCATCAAATTCTTGTAATTGTTGATTTACAAAAAAATGTCGGTCAGTCAACTTTGCTTGTGGCAGGTATTCTAATTGTCGCCGGAATACACCTCTTGTTTGGAATACCTGACATAATTAACTGGCTACGTATTTCATGTTAAAATATTGAGGAATTACATACATACCGACTGGATCTTATGCATTTACATATCTAACACCTAAACTTCAATTTTTACATTTATACCACCCAAATCTTACCTGCCACGTGAAAATTTTCTCTTTTATCTATTTAAAAAGTGAAATACATCTTTTCATGCTTAGGTTCACGCGTAGGCGCGGTGTCTCATATATATATATATATATATATATATATATGTAAAATTGAAGTTTATAGTTAGATCATATATATATATATATATATACATATATATAATTATATATATGTAAAAATTGAAGAAATTGAAGTTTAGAGTTAGATAGTATTCAGATGCATGTAGATCTTCCTAACATATATTATTATGATAGATTTATTACCTTTATAGTTCAGCGGCATTCATCGTAGTTTCCTACAACAAGTCCTGATAAAAGTAATCAAAGTCCATCTGAGTATTTGACTTCCATGCATAAATATTTAAGCGCCTTTTGTTCAAATCATTGGTTGCATCCTATCCGTTAATTCCACCGAAAAGAGCCGCTCGGTCAAGTAGTTCTTGACAATAACTTCTATAAGATATAGCAAGTCAAACGGCAATGAAGGCCTGATAAGGGTTTCTGCCATCTAATTATCTCTGTTGAATCTCTTAGGAATCTCTTAGAAGTCTTTTTCCTTTTTTTTTTTTTGTGCTTTTTTGGAAGCTAACAAGATTATGAGGCATAACTATAGTGTGTGAGATTCACACTGATGCACATTAAGATCTGTAGATTAGGTTAAAAATTGGTTTTAAATATGCAGAAATACATAAAGATGTTTAAGAATTGTACCTTGGTCATCAATGTCTGACTTCCTCTCTCCCTTTTTCCATCCCCCCCCCAACTCCTAAAATTATCTCTCATCCTGTATCTTATTCTCATTACAATAAAATCAATTTTCTTGAAAGCATAAGCCAACAAGGTTGTTTTTTGTCCTTTGAGCAAGACACTCAGGTCTGAGGTGCACATTGTTTGTGCAAGTAAAGCATGCCATTTCAGCTTACCCTTACTAGATAGATCCAATATTTCCTCTTTTCCTGTTTTTATGTTCATTTTCCAATGGCCTTGGTTGATGATGTTTCACAGAGAATGGCGAGGGCCTTCAGGTTCTCCATTATGAAGTCGGTCAAAAATATGAATCTCACTATGATTACTTCCTTGATGAGTTCAACACTAAGAATGGGGGTCAGCGCATAGCTACTGTACTTATGTATCTGTATGGAACTCATTCAGATTTTTCCCTTGATCTATCTCTTGCAACATTTCAACACTTGCTGCTTCTTTGACTGTGACTTTTGCCTCTTTTTTTTTTTGGTTAAAATTTAGTTCTGATGTTGAGGAAGGTGGTGAGACAGTATTTCCATCAGCCAAAATAAACAGCAGTTCTTTGCCATGGTATAACGAATTATCCGAGTGTGGAAAAGGTGGTTTGTCTGTTAGACCAAAGATGGGTGATGCATTGCTTTTCTGGAGCATGAAGCCTGATGCAACGTTAGATCCATATAGTTTGCATGGTTAGTCATTCTTGTGTTCTCTTCAAGTATTCTGCTTCACAAAGTTATTCAGTATAAAGCAATTTAAATGTTTTACTGCATTGGAAAAAACTATTTCATCAGATGTCTTATACCTGCCATGTTTTTACTTTTCAGTTCTTGCCTATACATTGCATCCAAATGAAATTAGCATATTTTTATAACTCGGTTCTTTTTTAGGCGGATGCCCTGTGATTAGAGGAAACAAGTGGTCTTCTACGAAATGGTTCCGTGTTGATGAATACAAGGTGTAATTTAAACAGGAAAGGTATTTCACTTTTTTTATCATTCTCTAATCTTCCTAATGACGTTCAGGAATTTAGGACACCTTTTCGAAAGTTAGTGTGCGTCGTTTGTACTTATATTTGCTCCAATTCAAACTGTTCTGTAATTTTACTGGTTTCTACTTAACCCAATCATCTTTCATCAGTTGTGCACCGCAAATGTAACTTGGTAGATGGGTGATAATGGCACTTAAAGAAGTCCATCCAAGGAAGATTGTCCCTTTTTCTTTATATTAGGCAGGTTAGACCTTGGATCATTCTCAGTGATAGCGAGTGTAATTACTGTCTAAAATATGTAGACATTTCTTTTTTTTTTGGCAAAAGTTTGTTAAAATAAAGACTAGAAAGGAAAAAGAAGCCGCTAACATACTTTTTTGAGAACCTATTTTTAGCTCTTAATCACTAATGCTAAGAAATATATGATGGGCTTGTCAGCCATGAATGACTACAGCCTTGCAATTGAGAGTTGTACAACCTCTTGATTATTTGGCCAGTCTTAAATGATGGAAGCATTGGATCCCTATAGGATCCATTCCCGAAAGGTCAAAATTGATATTGCAAACACCTTTTGGGAATGATATAAAAGGGTCAAAATTGACATCCGTATTGGGCCAACTCCTTAAAAGTATATGGCCTTTGAATGGATATGATTCAAAAATTAATAAAAACCGGTTACAGATTATTGACTCAGGAGCATCATAACATATAATTGGGGATGTCTCCTTATTTCACAAAATATATCTCTATTATAATGAATACTCAATAGATCACTATTTTCGAGTAAATTGTCAAAAGTCCCCGACTATATACATGGGGCTATTTTAGTCCCAGAATTTATAGAAGTGTCAAAATAGTCATCATAATCTTAGAATGGGGATTGAAATAGTTCTCATTGAGGATTATTATAGCTCAATTTTAATATAATCGGAGACTATTAGTCTCATAGTTTATAAACTGTCAAAATAGTCTCTTGACTTTTTAAATGGGGGTTGCACTGGTCCTCATTGAGGTCTATTAAAGCTCAATTTTAATATAGTCCAAACTTTTTTTTGGTACTTTTATGAACTCTGTGACTAAAACGGACCAATGTAAATGGTCGGGGACTATTCTTAATAGTATTGGAAGAAATAAAATCTCAAATTTCATGAACTTAAACTCAGTATTATTGGCTTCTAAATTTTTCAATAAGCATTGATCAACCAAAAAAATTATCAAGTATATGAATTGTGATACTAATTATTTTCCCATTCTGTAAATATCAAATTGACAATGTGGATGATTAACTCTCTCTTTAATGCTTAAGAAGATTCGACATTATTAATAAAATATACTCGGTTTGTAGCTTATTATAAAGAGATTGCAATCATATTATGCCACATCCATCATGATCATCTAAGCTTTATATATCTCAAAACATTATTTGCATATTCTTTCAATTGTAAAATTCTTGGATTATATAAGTGTAGAATTTATCAATTTTGAAAACACCATGACACTTATCCTAGCAATCACTATAAAGTTTATTGACCTTTTTAAATCATTTATAATGCATTTAGTGTCCATTTTGTGTTACCAATATCTATGGGTTAGGTGGTTCATATCATTTATGTTAGCGTTACTTTGATTTTCTTAATAAAAATAAATCTGAAGTTTTTCACATTGTTAAAAGTTCCATTTCTATATACAAACCCAGTTTAAAATCTAAATTCAAGTGCTAGTGATTGTCAATGGGCAGAATATTTCCATGTTCTTAGGGACTACTTTTTTTCAACTAGAGCTCATGCATGTGTACTTCTCAGAAGAATATAATTGTTAAATGAAAAATAGCCATCTTTTGAAAGTTGCTTAACCCATCATGTCACTAGTGAGGTTCCAAAATATTATTGGGGAAAAGCCATCCTGAATGCTAAATATCTCATTAATCTATTTCCATCATAAATTCTGAAATTCAAAACCTTTTGCTGAGTTCTGATCAAAGCATATCCCATATTCGACTTGTCTCCATTATTTAATTTGAAGTCTTTTGGTGTTTCACTTCAGGGCGCATCCCATCTCATGCATGAAATAAGTAGAATTATTCTCCCAACCAGTAAGATATAAATGTTACTATTTTAAGACGGATAAATGTTACAATATTATCCATGCAATATTTTTTAAAAACTAGCCATTCTTTCCCAAAACTAACATTCAGCGGGAGTACCCCAACACTCATCATAAATGAGTTTTGTATTCATCCAAGCCTCTTAGTTTACCTCTCCCAGATCTCCTTGAAGCTCAGTCTCTTGACCATAATGATCTCATTTGATATAAAGGCATGGTTTATAATAGATATTAGGAAAATCCAACAAGCATTTGTGAACCAAGCATTTCTTCATGATAAAATCACACGCAGCACTATTTTGACCTTGATATCTTGATTGCTCAAGGGCAAGGTGCAAAAATGATGTTAATATTGTACAGAATGTTCGATCAGCAAATACATCTCTTAAAAAAACTTATCTTCTCATTTTAGTGTTTTTATAACTAAACTTTCCAATGTCTGCATCCGCAACAGAATTTAGGAAGCTTTAAATAATTAGTTGAACTTGGAGATGTACATGAAAATTCACCGCTGGCTACTGTCTATTTGTATAGGGAAATTTAGTCAGCTTGAGAAGTAAAGACGTGCGATGGTTGCTAACAGTTGTGCTGTTGTAGAATTTATTGTCACGGCTCGTGAAATCTGTAGAATGCTATTAAAAAGGTTTTTTAATGACCTAAAGATTCACAGTAAAAAATAAATAATAATGATATATAATAACGAAGCTACAATTAGTATTGCTAAAAATTTAATTCACTGTGATAGAACTAAGCTTGTTGAAATTGATAAATATTTTATAAAGAAAAAGTTCACTCAAATATATTACACTCCGACAAAAGTTTAGATATTTGATATCTTGTCGAAAGTTCTTGATCAATCACAGTTTGATAACCAAACTTACAGTATACTACACGAGTAACATATAGTCTCAGCTAGGAGACTAGTAATCTGGTAAGGACACCCTTTTGTGACTCACGCTCACTTCTCCTCAACATTATGCGTTCTTTAATTAAATAATCCGCAGAATGATAATCTACCTTAGGAATCAGTCACTATTCATTCGTAGAGTCCCTTATTGATTATGCTTTAATGATAGAGCTGATAATTTATGCATTGTAGCATCTATAAATATGTATTTTTTCTATTGAATGAAATAAGGGAATAAGATCTAAGTTCCTTTTTCATTTTTCTTATCTCTAATTTCTTTGACTTTCAAGGTATACTAAACTAGCCAAATCCAGCTACTATATTTTGAGACTTTTGTGAAATTCCCCACTGCCATTGTCGGGTTCCAAGTTCCGGATGCGAAAATTTGAGGGTTACGTTTGGTAGTCGACAGCCAGTGTAACAGTTTGTCGAAAAATCATGACAAATCATTTAAATCATTGTGTAAATGTCAGGACATTTTTTAGAAGCGATGCGCTGTATGATATGAATATAATAAAAATTGTGCAAGGGTCGCTACATCGATACCTGAGTGTAGTGTCAAATAAGCAAATGTTCCCACATTATGGACAGATGTGGTCAAAGAAGTTTGTTCATGAAACAAATATTAAGATAAGATCTTTAAAAATAGGTACTCTCACAGGTAAATTAATAGAATTAGTAGATATTATGGTTCATAGGAAGATAAATTTTTTATGCATTAAAGGGTCTAAATGGGTTGGAGAAAAAGCTAAGGAGATTGATAGCTTAGGTATTAAACTTTGATATTCATGTAGGAGTCGTACTAGAAATGACGTAGATGTAATTTTAGATAAGTGTTTGAAATATATTTTTATAAAAATTAATAAAATTGGAGATAGAATAATAGTCCTAAAAATTGTTGTTGATACTAAGATTTTTAATGTTATTAGTGTTTATGCTCCTCAAGTGAGTTTAGATAAAGTTCAAAAGAAGAAATTTGGAATGACCTAGAAGAAATAATACAAATTAACTGTTGAAGAAAAAATTTTTATTGGAGAAGATTTGAATGGACATGATAGAGTGGTAGAAGATTTTAGAAATATTCATGGTGGCTACGATTTTGGATTGATTAATGAAGAAGGTAGCTCCATATTAGATTTTACTTTAGCTGATAATTTTGTTATTGCTAATATTTTATTTAAGAAAAGATATTGGCATATTATTACTTATAAGAACAAACCTCATAAGACACAAATTGATTGTTTTCTTATGAGAAAAAGATATGTCGAGAATATAAAGATTGTAAGGTAATTCCAAGTGAAAATTTAAGTACTCAACATTAATTAATAATTTTGGATTTTAAGATAAAGAGTTGTAAGATAAATAATACAATAAAGATAAATAATACAATAAAATATTTTCATTGAACAGATTGTAAGGTAATTCCAAGTGAAAATTTAAGTACTCAACATTAATTAATAATTTTGGATTTTAAGATAAAGAGTTGTAAGATAAATAATACAATAAAGATAAATAATACAATAAAATATTTTCATTGAACACAAATAAAATTATTTTTTAGTAAACTTCAAGATTTTAACATTTAGAATGTTCATGAAGCAGCAAATCCTATATGGGATAAATTAACAAACACTATTAAACAAGTGGCTAAAGCTGTATTTCGAGAATCAAAAGAAAATTTTTTACAAATAAAAATAGTTAATAGTGGAATAATAATGTGCAAGAAAAAGATAAGATATAAGAAGTTATATTATAAAAATTTGTTTAAATGTAAAGGTTCGGAGAACTGAGAAAATATGAGGTGGCCTGTAGGGAGTCTAAGAAAATAATTTGTGATGTTAAAAATTTTGTTCATAGTGATCTTTATAATTGATTAGATACTAAAGAGGGTGAAAAATATATGTATAAACTAGTCAAACAAATAGAAAAAAAAATAAAGATTTATTCCAAGTAAAGTCTATTAAAGATGAAAATTAAAAAGTGTTTTTCTTAGAAAAATATATTCAACATAGGTGGGCGAGCTATTATAATAAATTTTTCAGTGAAGTTTCTGAAAATATGATCGGTCACCTTAGTTATTTTACTATCGTTAATAATGATAAAATTTTTAATTTTTATCATCACATTAGTAAAAAATAAGTTGAGGAGGCTTTAAAGAAAATAAAGGGTGGAAAATCAGTAGGACTTGATGATATCTCTATTGAAATGTGGAAATATCTACTAGATTTGGGAGTTTGTTGACTTACTAAACTCTTTAATATTATTTTGAAAACTAAAAAGATGCCCGAGGAGTGGATGACGTGTATTTTGGTCCCCTTTTTTAAGAGGAAATGGGATGCAAAAGAGTTGCAAATTATAGATAAATTAAGTTAATGTGCCATATTTTAAAATTATGAGAGGGGGTAATTGAACATAGGTTAAAATGTGATACAAAGATTTCTCATCATCAGTTTGAATTTATGTCTGGCAAGTGTGCTATGAATGTTATACATTTATTGAGAGGTTTGATGGAGAAGTACAGAGAGAGTATGGAGGATCTACATATGATTTTTATTAATTTAGAAAAAGCTTACGATAAGGTTCCAAAAATTCTTCTTTGGAGATTTCTAGAAAAGATAGGTGTTGTTATGACTTATATTCATGTCATTAAAGATATGCATACTGGAGTTGTTACTTTTGCTCTAACATGAGGATTGACCAAGTAGTTTCCTATTTTAGTTGGATTACCTCAGAGATCGACTTTAAGAACATATATTTTGCTTTAGTTATGGATGCTCTTATTGGAAATATACGAGAGGATGTACCTTGGTGTATATGCTTTTTGTTTATGATATCCTTCTTCTGGATAAGACTAGAGGAGGAATTCAGAAAAAGTTTGAATTATGGAGGTCTACATTGGAGTCTAAAGGTCTTCGTTTGAGTAGATCTAAAACCGAATACATGAAATGTAATTTTAATAGTTGTAGCTCTAGCTCAAAGTTTGTATTTATAGGTGATCAAATCATTAAAAAGTGTGAACGTTTTAGATATCTCGGGTCTATTGTTGAAAGTGATGGTGATATAGATGGGTTGTTATTAGTAGAATTCAGGTTGGTTGAAGTGGAGGAATGCATCATGCCTATTGTGTGATAGAAAAGTGCCGCTTAGACTTGAATGAAAGTTTTATAAGATGGTGGTGAGACCTGCAATTCTTTATAGCACAGAATGTTGGCCTTCAAAAGAGAAGCATAAAAAAAGTTAGTGTTGTCTGGATGAGAATGCTTGGGTGGATGGAGTGGTTTGACACTTACAGACAAAATGCGAAACGAATCTATTCTTGAAAGGGTTGGTGTAACTCCAGTTGCAAACAAGATTAGAGTCTTTAAATTGTTTGTACGTAAATCATTTGATGATCCGGTTAGGAGAGTAGATGTTTTATATTCAACTTGTGTTAAGAAAGGAAGAGGTAAATCTAAAAAGACTTGGGTATATTGTATAAAAAATAATCTTAATTTATTAGAATTAAATAAAAATTAGAATTAATTATTAGAATTAAATAAAAATATGGCACTCAATAGGACACAATGGAGAAAAAAGATTCATGTAGCCGACCCCATTTAGTGGGATAAAGGCTTGTTTTTGTTGTTGTCTTTCTGCCTTCACTAAAACTTTCTTCGGTAACTTTCTAATCCTGTTGTTTTCCAAACTGAAGGAAATTGGCTTTCTAACTGTCAAGTAAAACACCTTTTCTAAGCAAATAAACTTGCAATGGAACGAACAAAACTTGATGAGAGCTGCTTTATTTCTATTTCAAAATGATTCTTTTCCTTTATAGACCATTCACTTCTAGCTTGATGGATAATATTTGTTGCGCATATACATTTGGAAAGAGGTTTCTGATACTATTTCTTGTTTTTCTGTGCTTTTATTTTTCCCTGAAAGATTTTTAATGATTTTCTGATCCAATTTTAGCCTGCATATTTGCAGTTTTGAACATTCGGCCCTGCACATGATTTGATTCCCGTATTTATCTCACAGAAGATTCTGATTGGGATGAAGATACTTTTACCTCACTTGGTTGTGCTCAAATCTCAAGCATTTTATATTATTATTCAAATTGTAGCTTTTAACTTGAAAGATAGCGGGAGTCTGCTCCTGTGTGCAATTCCTTAGTTTATTTTAACAAAGAAAATATACATCTGTTGTTAGAAGTATGAGGTGAAATTGTAACCATTTCTCTTTTTATCTTCTTGAGAGTGATCGTTGTATTCCTTTATGTTGTATTAGTATGAGTTCTCTTTGCCTCCGCAGGAAAAGTTTTCTATCCGGACTCCGGACGTAGCTCTACGTGCAGACTTCAGTAATATGTGATCATGTCTACTACATCGCGGAAGTTATTTCGAGGTTATTGAAGTGGAACCACGGAGATTGTCGGGGTTATTTCAGAGTTATTGAAGAAAACTCATATATTCTACTTTCATAATCCTGAAAGAACCCAAAAATAACCCTGAAATAACCTCCGTGGTTCCAATTCAATAACCTCGAAATAACACCGCGGAGTTTATTTCGGGTTTATTTTTGGGTTATTTTGGGATTATTTTTGGGTTATTACGGATTATTGAAGTGAAATATATGAGTTTCTCTTCAATAACCCTGAAATTACCCAGAAATAACTTATGCGTTGTTATTTCGGGTTTATTGAAGTGAAACCGCGAAGGCTATTTCGGTGTTACTTCAGAGTTATTACGGAGTCGGCGATTTAATTTTAATATTTTTTTTTAGGTGGGTTTGATATAGTACACATGGCGATGTAATACTGGCAGTCCGCACGTAGAGGAGTTCGGACAGAAAATTTTTCCCCGCATTTGAGTGTCATTATGGTTTTAAGCTTATGTTCCACAATCATTTCTCTTTTTTTTTTTTTTTTTTTTTTTGAAAAATTTGTAATTTGATATTCATAAACATGTTTTTCCTTAAACATATTGTCAATCCTACTTATTATGCTTACAGTTGAGGTAGTTATCCTTTTTTTTTTTTTTTTGACACTAAATTATTTATTAAAATGATTTTGATCTATTTTCTTAACTTTGTCCGATATTTATCTAAATTTTTTTATTTTTTTTTCTGTAGCCCATTATATTTTTGGATTCCCATTATCAACTGCCTATTTGTGATTCAAAGTCAGTATAGCTCTTATAATTAGATTAAAGCTTTATAGCTCAAGTAAATATTTGTTTTGGAATGAGGTGTTTTAGATATTATAAAATGTTATATTATTAAACGAATTATTTTAACATTATTTACATTTTAGATGGTTATTGTAGATGTCTAGAGTGTTGAATGATAAAAATATTAGTGACAATTGGCTTATTCAGTTAATTGTTTTTTAAAAAAATAAATAATTTTGAGGTGAGATAAATTTCAAAAATGATAAAATAAAAATCAATATATTAGAAAGCTAATGTAAGTAGCATTAAAAAAAAGATAATTGTAAAAAATTGAATTTCATCGAGTAGAAGATTTATGGTCTGTTTGGGGGCAGTTGTAGATTATTGAATGATTTGTTGATAAACTGATTAAAAATAATATGTTGATAAGTTAGTTGCGGTGATTATTACAAATTTTTATTTTTTTTTTGGAAAAGCTAGACCGCAACTAAAAAGCTGCTAACTCACATAGATAAGTGCGGTGTGAAAACGTTGTTTTCAGCGTTTTGAAAATATATAAGCTGTCAAAACGTAGTTTATCCAAATAAGTCAGGTGTGTTTTCAAAATGTCATTGTACCAAATAAACTGACTCAAACGGGCCTTTAAAGAAGACAAAAAATGTTCTTATGAGATTCATGTCGTGAGCATATATGATGAATGTAAGAAATAGCAAGAAAATTGTAAGGTGTCCGGTATAATATAATTTATGTTAAAAATTATACATGAGAGGCTTCGAGCAAAATCTTAAACATCGACCTCATAATATTTAATTTTAATAAATTGTCATGTAAGGAAAAATTTAAAGACCATATTATTGTCGTTCTAAATGATTATATATTTCAATACTTGGGTGATTGTTGCAGTTTAAAATGGTGGCAACAACATAGTTTTTTTAATAGTATACTTACTAATTTGATATTTTAAATACAATTTAACTCGCATTTTAGTATATTAAGAAGACTCAACTTTAATTATTTTGAAATTATGCATGTGAAATAAATTTAAAAAGGAATTACTAATTTGGTATTTGGATATATCAAGAAGAGTATAAATTTTAAAATTTGTTGAAATAAACTTTTGAATACATATTAAAATCATATAACTATTAATTTATTTTCTTAAGAGCTTAAAAAGATTATAATTTAAAAAAGTTCTAGAAATATACTTGTGAAAATTATTAAATTTTGGAAGTGTTTTTAAAAATATTTGAAGCAATAATTATCTATTAATTTGTAAAATAAATCATATTTTTTAATTAGAATGGGTGATCCAACTAAAAACATTCCCTTTTGTAAGAAAATTATAAAGAAGTCGCAATCAAGTAGAAAATGAGTAGACAAACACGAATTTGTACCTACTAAAAGTAAAATCTTGTACATCTCAAATGTCAATGAAAAAAAATATTGCATAGAGCTCGCATATAGTACACACGATTTAAGTTCTATTATCACCTACAATTTTTTCTAGTCGTATGTCTACTTTGTTTGGAATGTAGTAATTTGAAGCATGTCATGATTTATCTCGTAAGTGATTCTTTTGCTTTAAATTTTTAGACACTTCCCTCTCTTCTATTGAAGTAGATAATTGGACAATATGATATGAACTACTGCTAACATGATATTGAACTGACAGTGGGCCCCCAAAACCATTGCTCTTTAGAAGGTATGTGACAATGAGCATCTAGAATCGCCCTTGGTGTTATATTGTGAAAGGTCTGCTACTTTGTGTCGCCCAAGAAGGTTATAGTCCGAAAAACTTTGGAGGTCCTCTCATTGCATATCATATGATAGTCAACTCCGATAAGTAAGAGGGGGCGCAACAATTTATATCAAAAATCCAAAAGTAATTTAGATGAATATCATAGGATTCACGTGAATCAGGGGAGAAAACCACTACATTCTTAGGAGTAGCGCATTTGTTGGTAGTGCATCTAACAAATATATTGATGTTTATATCCGACTGCATAACTCATCAAGCTTATCAATCAACATCACCTTGGCCAACCTTTACCAGTGCGAAAAAAATACTTAGAACACTCTGCCTCCGCAATAAACTCACTACAAAATTGGATTGGATTGAAATAATTAAGTACCTATAAAAGTAGCTAAGAAAACTTCATAGCAAGAGAATTCAGATTATGTCAGGGCTAATTCACCGAAAAACCTTGAGTAATCTGCGTCTAAGGGATCTACGAGAGCTCTGAATAAGTATAATCTAGTTGGACTAAATTTTAGAATGCAACACTCATATAAATTAAATTAATAATTATGGTAATAAAAAAAATTAGTTTTAGGCATAGTCGTCTGTTAAATGACCGACTTTGTATCATGGTTTCACATAATCTATTTGTTGACCTCACTTTTGTAAGGACTCACTTCACCTACTTGTACATGACCCTAGAAAAAGATTGTGTTTTCTTGGGCCCCACCAGTGCAAGACCAAGCCCCAAACCCTTGGTTGAGTTGGTTTACGGTTTGGTCAAGTGAGGAACCCGAATTAAGCACCAGGGTAAGACATGCCCCAGATCACCCAAATCAATCCAAAACCCTTGGGACTTGCTTATGGACCCAAGGAACCACATTGACCATGAAATCCACCTTGGGAGAGGGGTCTATCTAAATTGATCCCTAGCCTCACCTAAGGCATCCCTAACACTACCAAACCCTAAAAATCACCTTAAACCCTGATATGCCCTTTTCGACTGCAAAATTTGATTGCACCTTGTGATGGACAAAATTAATTGGGCCTACCCAAATTTGGACCAATTAACCACATCCATGTCCAATTGAGCCTCACTGAACATGGTATTGATGACACACCGTGTAGTGGACCTAATTGCCATCATGGGGTTAACCCCATAATTCACTTAATTAATTAATTAAATGTACTTTTAAATTTCTTTTGGATCTAGGTTAAGGGAAAAATTCAACCCATCTAGCCCAAATTTAAAACCCTAAGACTAAACCCAACCCAAACCCATTGTCCATTCCTAATGGGTCACCCATGACCTAATTACCACCTAGCATGACACATGGGTGATACATCAAGCCGACCAGGGTAAATCTAACCCTGAATTGGTGGCTTGGCATCATTCATCATGGCTCATCATGGAGGGGACACATGATACTTAGCCTAATCCTACTTGGATCAGCTCTTGATGAGTCAAACCAGATCAAGTTTGGTATATGTTATCCAACCTAAAAGTCCTCCAATCATCAAAGCTTCCTCCTATGCCTCCCCCATCTTCATGCTCATCACCATGGTCAAATCGCTATCTAAACTTGAAGAGTTTCCCTCCACTGCCCAAAATCCTCTAAAATTCCTCTAAGAATTCTTTGAAAAGTCGCCCACGCTTTTCCAATCATCTCATAGCTCTCCCATGGCCTCTTATGGATACTTAAGGAAGGAACCCGAGAGCCTTGAGACATCATCAAACTCCATATCTAGCTTCTTGACCTCTGCCTCTTGTCGGCACTATTTTTGGTGTGGGGTTTGCCCGTAAGAAGTTGTCGGTCATCGGAATTGAAATCCCGTTGCCCGCTTCGGAAGGACGTTTTAAAAAATTTAGTTTTGAAAAAGATGAAGTCAAACTGACCCCATAATTTTCATAGTTTAGATGAAAGAGCACTTTATCTCAAATCAGGTATCTAGCCCGAAGGAGGAACGCAAGAATTGAGAGGGAGGCTCGATCAAATAAACTAAAGAAAGTTATGA